GGGAGAGCTCTCTGTTTGATAGCAAGGCTGTTTATATCCCCAGACTATGGTCAGAGGGAATTCAACAGAGGCTTAATCCATGTTGGGTAACTGCAAATGGATTGGGGGCTCCCACTATCATCCACAGCCTTCTGCAAACTGGGTATTCAGAATTTAAGCTCTGATACAATTACCTCCTTCAAATTGGGATTTTATTCTTTATAATCTATGGATCACACAAGCTAGTGTACTTCTTCCATGTAGACGGAGTTTATGCCTCTGTAGATGGCTGCTTCTTTGAAGACAAGGCTTTAAGACCCCAGACGCTATTCTTTCTGATAGTCGGGCATAATTTGGTTTCTTCACCACACTTTGCTATAGCACCCATATCTTCCAAGGGCGAGCATTTCGTGGGGCCATGTCGTAAGAATGGATTGTTCTTAGATTAGGGCTACAATTAAGTGAGAGTCCCAAGTCCATTTATATGTCTGGTTTATGAAGGTCTCTGCTTCACTTTAGAGATATAATTATCATTTTATGATAGAGAACATTATAAATCACCCTCATGTGACATATGGTACTTCTATTGATTCATTAATTTAGCTGATGGTATAGAATTTAAAACACTCGAGAAAAGGAAATTATACATCTGTACACTGGCCTTTCAGACTGTCATACATGAATTGTTGACTTGTACCAATTAAGAGTTTAAGTGACTCCTGTATTCCTCTGTTAATACAATCATTATGCTTATTGTCTCATAATAACAGCAACTATATGAAATTAGATTTGAGTGCTAGAAATTTGAGTATAGATATCAACTATGGGCAGGGAGGACCCAACCACTTGTAGTCACTTGAATTTCTGAGGTCTTCCGTAGCTTTCTTAGAACCTTCAGTCTCTGTGCTGCTTCTCCTCTACCTTAGCTAGAAGCAGTTTCCTGAAAACTGTAGGGATTCTCACCACATCTCCATGGCTTCTGAGAGAGTAGGCAGGCACCAACACGTGTACAAGAGGTGGTGGCCCCTGTGTATGGATTGTTCATTATAAACCAAGTCCTTGTAGGTGCAGGGAAGCCAGCCTTCTCCTCCACATCCCTTGAATGTTTCCCTTGTTTGCTATCTGTTGTATTTTTAGAATGGAAAACCAGGAAGAAATAATAAATGAAGGTTGGATAGAAATGAGAAAGTTCTACCTTCTTGGAAAGCCATCCTATTGGTATTACTCTATTTTTAAAATTTCAAACATCTCACTGAGGAGGCACACACAGGATCAGATCTGAGGGAGAACTGCTAACCCTACTGCTGTAAGGACATAAAGGTAACTTAGCTGGATACCCATGCTAAGTGCGTGTCTTATGCCATCTAAAGCTCCTTTATGTGAGTCCTGCCCACAGGTGGGGTTGAGTCCTGCCCACAGGTGGGGTTGAGGCATGAGTCCTGGCATGTGTAGTCTCAGGGCCTAGTGTATTATTGAAACTAATTGATGTTGCAAGAGAAAAAGAAAATTAGGTGGGAAAATAGAAAACCACGATCAGCTCCATTCCCCTTAGAAAATGAAATCCACTTCTAAAAGGAGCCTTGTCCCCTCCCCACCCCGATTTGAGAAACCTCTCGAGAGTGTTGTTCCCCCAACATCCAGCAAATGAACGGTTAGTGTCAATGCCGAAATCATACAGTCTCACATCCTCCTTAACATCAATGACCAGGATGAAAGGGAGATTGATATATTACTTGGGAAAGGGGACATAAATCATTGAAGGCTGTGGAGGATCTGCTTATTTCAGGTTAGTGGTTTTAACTGACTATCATTGAAAATGAGCATGGGGTGCTTTCTGGCAACTCTGAAGCAGACGTAGGGACTTGCTGTGCTTTGTTGAGTGAAGAAGCGCATGTATTCAAGAAGCTTTGGGGAGAATTTTACAGTTAGGTAAGAGAGATGGGGTTTGTACCTCCCTTTTACCGTCTCATCGACCTCCTTTGATGCGACATAAGGTTTGAATTAATTTAAACGTCTGAACTGTGAACTGGTCTCACTAATCAGCCCCCTTTCTTTGTTCTGGAATTGTTCAGAATGCTTGACTGCTCAAGTCTTTGTGGGGGGGGCGGGGTGAATGAAGAAGAAGAAGAGGAGGAGGAGGAGGAGGAGAAGGAGAAGGAGAAGAAGAAAGAAAAAGAAAAGGAACTGAATAGGCTTGACTGGATCCTAGGTGTACTTTTTGAACAGGATTTGGTTCTTGGCAACCAGAGGCTTACTCTGATCTTTATTCGTTTGAATGGGATGCAGTCTTTCAGATGATAAGTGGGTGTGGTATGTCCCATGCTAGGTGTTATTTTACACATGTGTTCTTAAGCTTCCATTAGCAGCACCTTAGTTATTTGGAGTTGCTGAGATGAGGATCAAAGTATTCTACGAGCGGTTTATCCAGAGATGGAATACAACAACTCTCATTTATGTGGAATTTTACATAATAGAATTTGTCTGAAAATTTCACTTTCTGAACAAATAAGGGATCTCCTATATGAGCTATTGTCAAAGGAGAAGCAAAAACAACAAATCACTTACAGTAAAGATGCTTTAGTCTTCCACCCGTGGTATTTGAGGTTTGGACAGTCATTGCCTCAGTCATCCTGAATCTAATGTCAAGGTGCCTCAACGTTGAAGGGACAGGAGACAAAAACCAAACCTTTCTCACACCTGGACCACAGTTCTAGCAGGCTTGTCCCACTTTAATGCCCACAAATGTTTTTGGCAGTTGTTTGATACAAAGGGCTGGGAGAGGAGGGAAGACATTGTGGCCTATGATTTGAAACAGGTGGGTGTGGTTGGTTGTGGTTGTGGTTGAGGAAGAGCAATAAGGGCATTTGTATTCTCAGATGACTCATTGATATAAGCAAATGAGAAGCCTCCTCTTCCACTTGGGAATGTTCTATTGGATCAGTTCGCATCAATGTCTTACATGGACTGGATCAAACACCTAACTGGATATACTGTTTCCTTAATAGAAGGGTCTTGTTATAAATAGCAGCACCTACTTGAGCTGCATGGAGCCCTGGCGACAGAGTGGTCATATAGTGGTGAGGTAGTTAGTTTATTGTGCCAACCTGGGCGATAAACACATGTGGGGTTAATTGAAGGGCGGAGGGATAAATGGCTCAGGGAGCCTTGCCTTTCTAGTTCTCAGAGCTCTTGCTTTCTGATGGTCAGACCAGGGTGCAGCTGCCTTGGCCAGTTCCTGCTTCAGCTGACAAGGCTGACTTCCTGCAAGACATCCCCAAGGAGAAGCCGCATGGACCTACCCTGATGCAGCGCTGGGTGCTGGAGCAGCCGTGTGGAGACCCCTGCCAGCGCTGAGATGCTTACACACTCACTGACTCGGCTTTCCTCCTGCAGTCGGCATCATTGTGTGTGTTTTGTGAGATGCAGGAGGACTTTGTGGATTGGTGTCGGACATATTGGTTAATGGGTTAATGTTGGACTTGTGGGCTTGGGCAGCACTGGGTTGGGATGTTTTCTTGATGTGCACTTAACCTTTATATAAAACTCTCTTATACATGAGTTTCTGTGGATTTGTTTCTCTAAAGTACCCAGACTAACACAATTGGGCGGCTATCTTCAAGGCTAGCAGTTGGAAACCACAAGTCATTTCCTGGGAGAAAGCTGAGGCTGTGTACTCCTGTAAGGAATTACAGTCTCAGAAACCCACAGAGGCAGCCCTTCCCTGTCTTGTAGGGTCACTGTGAGTCCGAATCGATCGCAGTAAGACCTGAGCTGGGTTAAACAGGGCCAAGGACATGGCCTAGAGTGACCGGGTTTGTTCTTGTAAAGAGGGCCATGCTCTAAGAACCATGTGCCTGTTAACTGCCGTTGAGTTGGCCCCTGACTCCGGAGAACCTCTTCACACTGGAAGAAAACATTGTCTGGTGCTGTGCTAACCTCCTGATTGGTTGTGACCCACGAGGTTGTATTGGCTGATATTTGGAGTTAGCGTACCAGGACTTTCACCTAGTCCATCTTACTCTGCCAGCTCCGCTGGAACTTGTTCAATATCATCTCAAGGTCATAGAGTCCATGCCTATTCATAGCGATTCTAAACTGCCCCTGTGAGTTCCCGTCTGTAATCCTTCACGGGAGTAGAGAGCCCTGTCTTTCTCCCACGGAGTGCCTGGTGGTTTCAAACTGCTGACCTTGCAGATCACACAGCCCGATGCCCAATCACTGTGCCCCCAGGGCTCCATTCACACAATGCAGGCGGTGCCCTGGAATCAACCCCCTGGCTCTCACATGGCAGGGGAGAATTCTCCCATTGAACCATCTTTGTATACATGCCCCTTTTTGTCAGAGGCTGCCATGTTTCTGGAGAGCCCAGAAAGCTTCCCTGTCGGGAGAAATCCTCTCCTTCGTGCAGCGCAGAACGGGCCAGATCAAGCACATGTTGGCCCCGGGCTGTCGGTTTTCCGTCCTTGGATAAGAAATGTGGTTCTGGCTGTGGATTTCTTAATAAGGGCATGTCTCACTTCCTTTTCTCCTTGTTTTTTTGCCAGGCTTACTAGAAAGCAGCACCCGGCTGAAACCTCACGAAGCCCAGAACTACAGAAAGAAGGCCTTGTGGGTGTCCTGGTTCTCCATTATTGTCACCCTTGCCCTTGCGGTGGCTGCCTTCAGTGAGTACCAGGAGTCTTGCCGAGATCGATCGATGTGCTGCTGTTGCCTGTTGTATTCTCTAGCTCCTGGGGGAGGCTCGTTTTGCTTTTAGTTGACTATGATTGATGCGTAAATTTTGGTAGATGGCTGGGGAGTGGGAGTGCTTATAAATTAGTAAAATGGCCTCTCTCTTCTGCAGCGGGAAGGGGTGGTGAGGAAGAAGGCGTGGACAGCGGAATTGAGAGCCTCGGCTCTTAGCAGTATGAGTTTTTTGGGAAGTGGACTCTGGCTGCCAGCTGAATGGTGAAAATATTCTCTTGGTGAAATGCCTTCCTCTGGGGCGGGCGTGTGACAAATATCCGTCCCTGGGTGGTTTTCGCCTCACGCAGCCAGATAAATGCAATATTGCAGGCCATCCTTTCCCCCTGTGCATCCGTATGAGGTTTGGAAGGAAATCACGTTAAAAATTTAATGAAAGAAAACATGGTAGGGTCTTCTATTGAGTTTTCAGTGGCCCTGGAAACAAAACCATTGATAACAATAGTGATAACCCTAAGCAAAACAAGATGATTGAACAATGTGTGGCCATTTACCCATACACATTTCGTCCTGTGGGGGTGGGGGATTAGGATGCCACATAATGTGTGTCTTCCTGACTAAATGTACATGCGATATTTATTGTCATTAATCATGCAGTGATGACAAACCTAAGTTATGGCCTTCAGTTTAGCTCAAGCTCTGTAGAAACCATGATGCTTTCTATCCCTGGGCTGGGCGGGGGAAGCAAATGAATGTATATTGTGAATTCTCTGATTAATTTATTACTTAAGCAATAATTTAGCAAAAATTTCTAAGTGACAGGCATCCTAGCCCGGGTCTCATATGACACCGCTCAGCGTAGGAGAGGTGATCTTGTCTGAGAGATGTGACTGAGTCGTAAGTGCGTGTGTTCTTGAAAAGCCCGGTCTGCCCTGTTAGCCCGGCCGCTAGAAGCTGGTGCTGGCTCCCAAGGGGGGATATTAGATTTTGACTAAATGCTCCCTGTGAAACTAGGCATATATTATTTGAAGCAATTTAAATTGGAAACACTGTACCATATTGTGGATCTAAAAAGGCCAAACATCCAGAAGCAAAGGAGAATGCATTTCAGGGTAAAACCATTTGCCAGGGAGTCAGGAATCTAATCAAGGGAATTCTGATTTCTGAGAGTAATGACTCTTTCCCCTGCGCCAACCCCCCCCT